GCTGGAGAGGCATCTTTCTCTCAGACAGGCATTCTGGCAGTGGCTGATGTTTCTTTGGTGAGCCCTTCCCTCAGGGGGCTCACAGACAGGTGTCATTCCTGAGTCTTCAACAACCTGACTCACACTTTTTGCCCCAATCTGGTGATTTCCTGAGGCCCTGCCCCACCCAACTTTCAGGCCCACACATGTTGTTTCTAGTGGCTTTACCATGGGATTGGCCTGTCTTGATTCCTGCATCAGATTTTCTCAATTCTCTCAAACCAGCAGGACTTAGCAAATCCCAAACTTCTCACTAAGGGACCCAGGGCCTGGCACTAGAAGCAGCCAGCCATGGTTCACAGCTTGGTTTTGCCTGGGTACCTCCAAACCCAGTACAAGAAGCAGCCATCTAAAAGTTGTTTTGTAGCTTGTGCCTGGTGGCCCCAGGTAGAACACATGCAGTAGCTGACCTTGACCCAGAGCCAGCACACCCAGTGGACAACTTCAGACCACATTGAAACACCACCACCCAACCACCTCCACAAGTGCCACACACAATTAGTGGATTTAGTGGGTACCCGAACCCTGCTGAAGTAAGTCTTGCTCTGTGTGGTGGGCCCTTATACAGCTGATTCTCAAAGGTAGTCAGAGGCTAGTGGTCAGTAGGCACAGCCAGTCCTTGCAGCTGACCAGACTGAGTAAACCCTTGCAGCTGACCAGACTGAGTAAACCCCTCCCATTGACATGCCAACATCAAGACTCAATTACAACAAAAGAGTTTACAGTCCACACTAAGAGTGCACCTCGAAGGCCCAGCTGGAATGATCAGGAGACTGTGCCACTAGATCCTACAGGACACCTACAATAATAGGCTTGCCTATGAAGCCTAGGAGACATAGCAACTCTACCTAATACATGGAAATAATCACAGGGAAGCAGACAAAATGAGGAGACAAAGAAACATGTCCCAAATATGGGTACAGAACTAAACTCCAGGAAAATAACTAAACAAAATGGAGATAAGCACTCAAACAGATGCAGAGTTCAAAACACTGGACTGGTTATAAGGATACTCAAGGAACTTAGTGAGGACCTCAAGAGCATAAAAAAGGACCAGTAAGAAATGAAGGATGCACTAATAAATAAATAATAATGTACAGGGAATCAATAGTAGAGTAGGTAAGGCCAAGAAGCAAACCATTGATTTGGAATATAAAAAAGCAAAAAACACCCAATCAGAACACCATAAAAGAAGAAATCCAAAAAAGGATAGTGTAAGGAGCCTCTGGGACAACTTCAAGCATAGCAGTATTCTCATCATAGGGGTGCTAGAAAGAGAAGAGAGAGAGCAAGAAATTGAAAACCTATTTGAAAAAAATGACAGAAAACTTCCCAGTGAAGGAAACAGACATACAAGTTCAGGAAGCACAGAGAGTCCCAAACAAGATGAACCCAAAGTGGTCCATATCATAACCAAAATGCAAAATGTTCAGGACAGAGAGAAAAGCAGGAAGAGAAAAGCAGTTAGTTGCCTACAAGGGAGCTCCCATAAGACTGTCAATTGATTTTACAAAAGAAACTTTGCAGGCCAGAAGGGAGTAGCAAGAAATACTCAAAATGATAAAAAAATAAAATTAAAAAAACAGGGACTTATAGAAGATTAGTCTATCCAAGATTAGTCTATCCTGCAAAGCTATCATTTAGAATCCATGGACATAAAGGAGTTCTTCACCACCAAACCAGTATTATATGAAATGTTGAAGGACCTTCAAGAATAAGATAAAAAATATGAACAATAAAATGGCAGTAATCAAATCTACAAACCAAGTCAACATGCAGAACAGATTCATAGTAACAGAGAACTTTATGTTGGTTGCCAGATGGGAGAGGGGTGAAGGGATTAAGAAGTACAAATTGGCCCTGGCCGGTTTGGCTCGGCGGTTAGAGCGCTCGGCCTGCGGTCCTGAGAGACCCGGGTTCGGTTCCCGCTAAGGGCGCGTACCTCGGTTGCAGTTTGTCCCCGGCCCTGGTTGGTTGTGCGGGTGGCAGCCACTCGATGTGTTCCTTTCACGTCGATGTCTCTCTCTCTCTGTTCCTCTTTCTCCCTCCCACTCTACCTGAACAAAAAATGAAAAAACGTCCTCGGGTGAGGATACAAAAAAAAAGGAAAAAAAAAAAGAAGAAGAAGTACAAATTGGTGGTTAGACTGAGGAACCTCAAAGAGAGAGGGTGAGAAGACAGAAATAAAAAAACTTATATGCTTAACCAATGGACATAGATAGTGTGGGGAAGATGGGGTGGCAGGAGCAGGGAGGAGGGAGGCAGAGTGGGGGCGGGGAGGATGACATCAATAAACTTTCAACAGAAAAGATAAGTTTTTAAAAGTTTGGAAACTGCCCAATGTTGAAAGTTTTTGTTCTAGATAGGAATATGCATGGTGCATTATCTATTTACAAGCAGATCTGTCATGTGTAAAAGAGAGAAACCAAGCAAATTATCTTGGACATATTTATGGAAAGAATGATACCTCCTCATACTTCAGATAGGTCCTCCAGGGGTTCTTCTAGAATATAGGATTATTACCAAAGGAGATGACAGCCTCATGTGTTATTGCCCCTGTGGGACAAGATACAGAAGTACAATGACAAGTCAGATGAGTTAATTTCCAAAATATATAGAGTACTCATACAGTTCAAGAAAAGGAAGACAGTCCTATTAGAAAATAGGCCGAGGACCTGAATAGGCACTTCTCCAGATAGTACATACAAATGACAAAAAGACATATGGGAAAATGCCCAACATCACTAATCATCAGAGAGATGCAAATTTAAACGATTATGAGGTATCACCTCACACCAGTCAGAATGGCCACCATCGACAAATCATCAAACAAGTGCTGGTAAGGGTGTGGAGAAAAGGGGACTGTCACTGCTGGTGGGAATGCAGACTGGTGCAGCCCCCACTATGGAAAACAATATGGTGTTTCCAAAAAAATTTAAAATTTATCTGGCATTTTATGTAGTGATCCCACTTTAGGAATATATCCTAAGAAGCCAGAAACACTAATTATACAGAATATATGTACTCCTATGTTCATAGCAGCATTGTTTACAATAGGTAAGATCTGGAAACAGCCCAAGTGCCCATCAATAAATGATTGGACAAAAAGCTGTGGTACATTTACTCATTGGAATACTATGCAGCTATAAGAAAGGGAGATCTCTTACCCTTTGAGACAGCATGGCGGGACCTGAAGTGTATTATCCTAAGGAAAAAGCTACTCAGAGAAAGACAAATACCACATGATTTTCTTATTTATGGAATATAATTAACAAAATAAGGTGGTGAACAAAATAGATCCAGAAACTTGGAAGTAGGGAACAGACTGACAAACCTCAGAGGAAAGGGGAATGTGGGGTATGGGAAGAGATAAATCAAAGAAGTTATATGCATAACCAATGAATTTAGACAATAGTTATTGTGAAGGCAGTAGTTGGTGACCATGGAGCAGGTGTCAATGTGGGGAAAGTGAGACATCTGTAACACTTTCAAATAAAGAAATTAAACCTTAAAAAAGAGAGGGGGAGAGAGAGAGGTTGAAGTGTGTATCTTAGTTTATAACAAAAAAGAGTTTTTTATTAGAAAAACTGTAAAATAAGGGTATAAAAATATTTTTGTATAGCTGCAGAATAAATGTACGCTAAGTATTATAAGAATCCAAAGTTTTTTAATTTTTTAAGTTTATGAAGTAAAAAGTTACAATAAGCTAAAGTTAATTTATTGTAGAAAGAAAACTGTCTGAAATTCATTGTGCCTCAGTGTACAGTGTTTACAAAGTCTATAGAAGAGATTCTTGAAAACTTAGTTTTGTTTATTTAATTTCTTTTGCTTATGAATTTTATGGTTATATTATTACGCATATACAAGAAAATAAACACTGAAATTATTAACTTCCTAACCACTCCATATTTCTGGTTCAGAGAGTGTGTACATGCAAGTTGTAATGTGTTTCTTTTTAGTGGTTTTGTTTTTAAAACAATTGAGAATATACCACACATAGTGTTCTTCACTTTGGCTTTGTTTATATATGCCCTTAGTAAAATATATATATCAATACATAAAGATGTTCTTGTCATCCTGGGCAGTGTAGAGCATTGGCCAACCCACCAAAGGTTCACAAGTTCCATTCTGGTTGAGGGCACATACTTGGGTTGCACATTCTATCACTGGCCCTCTTTGGACTTGTGCAGGAGGCAACCAATGAAAGTGTGTCTCTCACAAAGTTCTCTCTCTGTCTTCTTCCTGCCCCCCTTCACTTTAAAAATCAAAAGAAAAATTATCCGCAGGTGAGAATTAACAAGGAAAAAAAAGATCTCATTGTCTTTATTGATTATATAATTTGCAGTTCTATATACTATAAGATAGTGGTTCATATTTTGGGTGTTTTTGATTGTATGGTAAGTAGCGGCGATATAAAGTAATACCTTTCTAATGCATTATCTCATTTATTTCTCAAAATAACACTGTGAGTGTAGGCGAAGCAGTTTTTACTCTTGCTGTTTTATACAGAAGACAGTAGATACTCACTGCAAGATTACAGATTTTGTGATGCTGAACCATGACTTGAACCTAAAAAATCTTGAGTAACTTTAATATGTAATTAAAATACAAAGTATATTGTTAAATCTCAGATGTAACATTTTGATTAATTTCTAGTTTTGATCCCAGTGAATGGAAGGCGCCTAAATAAATAAAGCAAACCTGTGATTACACAAATAAATGTAATGTTTGCCACCTATATGACTTCCTATGAAGATTATCATGAATGCAAAATCAATCAAAACATAGACTAATTAAATAGTTATCTACTACAGTGGCACAGATTGATGAAATAAAAATGTAGTGTTCTCTTTTGAGGTGTTAATACTAATGATAGCATTATTACCAATATTTGTCAGTGTAACAGCTGCCAGTACAGAATTATGTTCTGTTCTAAGAATCTATTTTTCTTTTTCTCTTAGCTTGTGAAACACTTACTGAGTGGGAATATCTACCACCTGTTGGCCCTCGCCCACCAAAAGGATTTGTGGGCCTCAAAAATGCTGGGGCTACTTGTTACATGAATTCTGTGATCCAGCATCTATACATGATTCCTTCCATCAATTGCAAGTGTTCTTGCAATTGAAGGCACAGATAGTGGTATAGATGATAATATGTTCAGTGATGAAAAGCAGGACATTGAGGTAAATTTTAAATATAAATTCTTTTTGTGTGTGTGTTTTAATACCTTGATACTAGGTACTGTTTTTCTCTATTTGAATATTGTAGTTCTCGTCAGATTTTTTTAACTGGATTTGATAATTGAACAAGAATCTCTGAGTTATCTCTGACATATTATAGTTCTCATTATCTAATAGAGTTTAAACTGTAGTCAGCAATCTTTATCAGAGCTTTTCTGTTTACTTCTTAAAGCAGCAGTTAATATAGTCATGTTCTGTGCACTATGATAAATATAGTTTGATGTTTCCATGGTCATAAGTATGTTCATTTTTAAGAATTAAGTAATATTTTTATTTTTATAATGTTTTCATGTATATTTATTCTACCTCAGATTTTGGCTTTTTCTGGTAAAGAAACAAACATTTTCTCTAGTTTAAATAATGTTGTATGGTTTTAGTTAACCATAACAGATATTCAGGTCACCAATCCAAAGTATCCAGTCAAGAGTAATGTTATGACAAAGTTAAGTTTTTGGTGGCAGGTCTGACTATGTATAAGTAAGATGTGCCTCTTAATATACATAAATATGGAGGACTTAAGCTTTGGTTATATTTGTATCAAAAGTGTGTTTTTCTTTATCTTTAATAAAGAAAATGTTTTGCATTATTTTTAATGCAAATTTATAGGAATTAAAAGAGAATATTTTAATTGTAGTAAATGATTCTTCTCTCATTCCTGCATTTCTTTAATTCACTGGCCAAGTAGTCGTTACTTACAGAGATTCTGAAACATAATACCTGCCTTAACTCTTCTCAGATCTGATAAATCACAACATTCAGACATTAGATTCAGGGTATGTTTAGTTTTTTTAGAATCTCCACATAGGCTGGCTATCCAATCAATATTGTACTTGGTTAAGAACCACTGTTTGAAAGAAAATTAGAATTTAAATTGCAGTTCTTTAGGGTGCTGAGTCTTCTCAACACTATAATATAGTTGTCTGTCTGTTTACTAGTTTCTTTTCCTAGACTGGAACCTTCTCAAGAGAAGGAACTGAACATTGTGTATTTCTGTATCATAAGCTTCAGAAATGGAGCAAAGAATGTAGAAAGATGTTCAGTTCTTTATAAAACAACTGGATGGCTTTGTAAAGTGATTAATACCTTTAAAGCTCTTGTTTATGCTGTTGTTTCTACCAAAGATACTATTAATTGGTATATTTATTGAGTGTTAACTCTGATCTTGTCACTTAAATTATGCCATATAACCTATAAAGAATATGTTATATCTATAAGAAATTGAATCCTAGAAAGTCTAAGTAATTTATTTCCCCAAAGTTGAATATTACAAAGCATTCCTTTGTCTCCAATTCAATCTATTCAACTATATTTCTTTTATATTGTACAATCTCCAGGGAACATTTAGTATTACTCTTCTATTATCTTTTTGTGATAGCTTATGTGTGAAATTGTGGGTATAAACACCAATATTGTAAAATGAAAATTATGTGTTGTAGATATACAAAATGATGCAAATCACTTATTCACTATTTGTCTCAACTTATTTCACTGTGCTTTTTAAGTTAGATTAACTCATCAATGACTTTTTTTGGTGTCTAGAGTAATGTTGATCCCCGAGATGATGTATTTGGATATCCTCATCAATTTGAATACAAAGCAGCATTAAGTAAAACAGAAGACAGGAAAGAGTACAATATTGGTGTCCTAAGACACCTTCAGGTCATCTTTGGTCATTTAGCTGCTTCCCAACTACAATACTATGTGCCCAGAGGATTTTGGAAACAGTTCAGGTAAATTATGAATGTATGATAATTTTTGTTTTATAAAAATCTTAATATACTAATTTTAAGCTTCCAAAATATACTAGAATCTATAACTATTTAATATGTACAATAGTAGTATTCTGTTTTTCTTAGTCAGTTTTTTCTTTATCATCACCTCAGTAAAAGGAGGTAAAAATGATCAGTCTGAATTTTGCTAATTGCATTTCTGTGGTATTTTTAGTATTTTGTATTTTCCTCTCTCCCTGTATGTTTTAGGTTTTTTGGTCTTATGGATGTGTTATAACTACTCAACTCTGCTGTTATGACAACACAGCAACCATAGACAATATGTAAATAATGGGGTTTGGCTGTTTCAGTAAAACTTACTATGCAGATATTGAAATTTTTATTTAATATCATTTTTACATGTCATGAAATACTATTATTTTTTTTTCTAATGCTTTATAAAACCATTCTGTTCAAATGATTGGAGTTTGGTTCCCCTACACCAAAGGTTGTAGGTTTGATCCTGCTTGGAGTGTGCAGAACTGGAGACAACTGATGGATGTTTCTCTCACATTGATGTTTGTCTCTCCTTTCCTCTCTCTAAAAACATATCCTCCGCTGAGGATTTTAAAAAATAATAATAAATAAATGTATATAAAACTATTCTAAGCTCTTGGATGATACATAGGGAGTGGGCTGGATTTGTTCACAGGATATAGTTTACTTAGCCTGCGAGTGAATAAGAGGCTTGATCAGGGATTATTTTATTCCTTATTTGTAATGGGCAAAACTCCTTCATAGGTAGTAATAGGAATCATTTACTCATTATCAACTGATTCCATTATTTCATTATGGTTACAAAATGATAGTATTCTAATTTTATCATTGTTGATTTATTAACTAGGTTGGGTCTGTAAAGAAAAACTTGCCTTCATCAATTAGTATATAAATCTGTAAGAAATCTTAATATATAAATAAAAAACAAAACTAAGATTAATACCATTTTATTTTCCTTTATTTTTCAGTTTATAAAGTAAAATTTATTCCATTTTTAGGTTGTAAAAAACTCAATTACTTTCTCTGGTTTTTCTTTTTTCACTAATTTTATCAAGGCTTACTATATGCCCAAGTACACAGCAGTAGAAAGGGTATTGTCCTTGGTGGTTTAAAATTCTTTTTCTCTTTAATTTTTTTTAAAAAATCTTGATTGTTGAATGTTCCTCATTTTTCCCCCATTGACCCCCACCTCCCCACTTCCGCCCCACTCTTGCCTTTTCCCACACTGTTGTCTTTGTCCATTGGTTATGCACATATGGAAATAAGTTCTTTGGTTTATTTCTTCCCACCCCCCAACCCCTGTCCCTTTGAGGTTTGTCAGTCTAGCAATGAATTTGTGCTTCTTAATCCCTTCACCTTTTTCACCCATTCCCCAAACCCCTCTCCCAACTGGCAACCAACAAAATGTTCTCTGTATCTATGAGAATGTTTCTGTTCTTGTTTATTTTGTTTACAGATTCAATTGTTGATAGATATGTATTCATTGCCATTTTGTTTGTTCATATACTTTATCTTTTTCTTCAAAAAGACCCTTCATCATCTCATATAATAACGGTTTGGTAGTGATGAACTCCTTTAACTTTTTCTTGTCTGGGAAAGTTTTTATATGTCCATCAATTCTAAATGACAGCTTTGCAGGATAATCTTGGTTGTAGGTTCTTGGTTTTCATCACTCTGAATATTTCTTGCCACTCCCTTCTGACCTGCAAAGTTTCTTTTGAGAAATAAGCTGACAGTTTTATGGGAACTACCTTGTAGGTAACTAACTGCTTTTCTCTTGCTGCTTTTAGGATTCTTTGTCTTGAACCTTTTGCATTTTGATGATGATGTGTCTTGGTGTGGGCCTCTTGGGGTTCATCTTGTTTGGGACTCTCTGTGCTTCCTGGACTTGTATGTCTGTTTCCTTCACCAACTTAGGAAAGTTTTCTGCCATTATTGTTTCAAACAGGTTTTTGATTTCTTGTTCTCGCTCTTCTCCTTCTGGCGCCCCCAAGATGTAAATGTTGGCACACTTGAAGTTGTCCAGAGGCTCCTTACACTGTCCTCACTTTTTTTGGATTCTTTTTTCTTTTTGCTGTTCTGATTGGGCATTTTTTGCTTCCTTGTATTCCAGATCGATGGTTTGCTTCTTGGTTTTACCTACTCTACTATTGAATCAGTGTAAATTATTCTTTCCTTCATTTATGACGTGCATCCTTCATTTCTGGTCCTTTTTTATGCTTTTGAGGCCCTCCCTAAGTTCACTGAGATTCTCACTAAGTTCATTGAGCATCCTTATAAGCAGTATTTTGAACTCAGTATCTGTTAGGTTTCTTATCTCCATTTTGCTTAGTTCTTTTATTGGGGTTTTATTCTGTTCTTTCATTTGGGACCTGTTTTTTTGTCTCCTCATTTTGGCTGTCACCCTGTGTTTGTTTCTATGTATTACTTAACAAGAGGTATGGAGCTAGCTGAGATCAGATGCTGCTTGTTTGAAAGAATTTAGGAAAACCTGAAGTAGGATCCAAGACAGGCCAAACCTATGGTTAGGCAACTGGCAACAGCTTGGGTAGACCTGAAAGTCGAGTGGGGCAGGACCTCAGGGAATCACCAGGGCGGGGTTACCAGTGTGAGCCAGGTTGCTGGAGTCCCAGATATGGCGGCTGTCTGCCATCCCAGGGCAGGGCTCACCAAAGGAACAAAGGCCTCTGACAGCACGTTTGTCCCGGAGAAAGCCTCTTCTCCAGCCCTCGCTCCAGTGCCAAACAACTCAGTTCTTCCCTGTATGTCTCTAGCACTCCTCTAGCTGCCTTCCCTCCAAGCAATAAGTGAGTGCGATAAGTCCGTGCGTGGGCCCTTTAAGAGGACCTCCCTGGGGCTCCAGCTGCCTCAGCCTCCCTGAGCCTCAGTTCCCACTGCTTTTTTCAGCCAGAGGTTATGGGGACTTCTCTTCCTGGCACTGGAACCCTGAGCTGGGCCCTTGTGTGGGTTAGGAACCCCTCAGTCTTCAGGGAGGACTTTCCCAGCCAAGGTATCCTAATTTTTATCCACCACACGTGGGCGTGGGGCCAGCCCGTCACACCTCCGTCCCTTCTACCAGTCTCGGTGTGGCTTCTTCCTTAATTTTGTAGTTGTAGGACTTCCATTCAGCTCAATTTCAGGCAGTTCTGAATGATGGTTGTTCTGTAGTTTAGTTGTAACTTTGATATGGTTGTGTGAGGTTGCGATACCACATTTATCTACACTGCCATCTTGACCGCAAGTCTCTGTTTTAGAATTCTTTAAGCAAGATACCTACCTGGCCAATATATTGATCGTGGTAAACAAAGGAATAATGTGATTTCTGAGTCACTCTGTTTCAGTCATGGTAGTACTACATATGTATATGTGTTGTAGCTCACTGTCCTTAGAATCCAACTTGTCTTTAAGCTGCCCTAATTAACAACCTCAGAGACTGCAAGATGAACAATGGGGAATGTTATAGAGGGCTTTAGCCCCATAAAAATTAACTAGAGTTTGACCTTCACTGGGAATTTGAAAAGCAACATCCTTCAAGAAAAGGGAGGACAGAAACGGCCCCAAGGCCAGAGTGTCCTGCATGCTCTGTAAAGAAACTGATAGGGAGAAACTGAAGCTCCCTTTACCCCATAAAACTGTAACTGTTCAACATGTGTGTATTGCCCCTGACTGACCGCTGATATCTGTCTCGAATTGGTTAGTTTTTAAAACTTGGATAATGGAATGAATAGCAGGATAGATGTATGCTGACCCAGTTCACCCAGTTCCCTTTCGCCTCAGCTCCCTCCCCCCTCCGTTCCCTCCTGCTTATCGCTAACTGCCTCCGCTTCTGTACAAGCAGCTTGCTTGCTCTGCTAAACTCTTGAATGACCCCTGCCCTCTATAAGCAACCCTCCCCCTGAGCTCGGGGCTGCAGTTCTCCTCTGTGTAGGTTGGCTGCAGTCCCTGCGCAGGTAATAAAACATCCCCAAAAACTGAAAAATGGAGTCTGAGTGCGGTCGATCTCCTGGGTTACAACATATGTAATATACTAATATGTAGACTTTAAGAGTAGGTGAGCCCTGGCCAGTTTTGCTCAGTGGTTAGGGCTTCAGCCCACAGACCAAGGAATCCTGGGTTCAATTCTGGGCAAGGGAACCTACCTCTGTTGTGGTTTTTCCCCAGCTGCAGTTGGGGTCATGCAGGTGGCAACCAGTCTATCTGCCTCTCTCACACTGATGTTTCTCTCTCTATCTCTCTCTCTCTCTTCCTCCTGCTCATTTATCTGAAGATAAATGAAAAAATATCCTCAGGTGAGGATTGGGGAAAAAAAAAAAGTGAGGGAAAAGTAGGTTTACAGTTATTTGTATGGAAAATAATACAATAAATAACACAAACATTAACTTTTACATGCGTACAACTCTTTTTAAAGAATAGTTTATTGATTTTTAGAGAGGAGGGCAGAGAGAGAGAGACAGAGACAAATTAGTTGCCCCTGCACAACCAGGGATGGAGTCCAATACCAGGCATGTGCCCTGACCAGGAACCTTTTGGTGCACCAGATAATGCATAACCAACTAGCCACATTGACCAGAGCACAATATTCACAACTTTAAACATACTTTTGTTTAACCCTGTACTAGTGTATCACTTTCATTTATTTTGAAAATCACTAGTTTTTATAGTATATGACTCACATTATCTTTCTATAAATATCTGTATTTCACAAGTAAAAGTTATCAGCCAATATAAGAGTGATTTGTACATACAATGCCTCTTTCAGTACCATTTTGGTATTTTTTTTTTTAATTTGGTACATTTTTTATTCTGTCTGTAACTCAAGACTGTGTTTAATATTCTAGTCAACATTTGTGTTATTGTTTTTTTCAAGTCACTTATTAAATATACTTTGAGATTTTATCTTTAAAAATCTTCAATTATTTGTATGTTTGTATGTCTAATTATAACTAGATAACAGTCTATACATA